GTGAGGAGGGTGCCCTTGTTTGACTTAAGCTACTTACGCAATTCAAGTGGCAAATCTGTAAATAAAAGCTAAATTCAAGCTGTGCTGATGGCTTGTTTATGCTGTTATAATCCTCTACCTAGGAAAACGTGGATGATTTCATGCTGGAAGCGCTGCCGTACTTGACCCTCAGTCTGGGGACAGGGTTTGTGTCCCCTCTCCTGGCTGGGAACTGCTGATGTCGGGGAGCTGCTGCTCCCTCTCCCTTGTGCTTTTTGAGGCAGCGATGCTCTGAGTGCTGCAGGGATTGTTAAATCAAGACACAGCAATCCCCCTGCCTTTCCCCAGAGTGGCAACATCAGCTTGTGCTGAATCTGTTCCATCTGTTCCCTCTCCCTGTGCATGGTCTGGGTCAAACCATGGCTCACCCAGCTCCAGCACTGCTGGGACCCAGTCCTTTCCCAGGATGGGCTTCAGCACTGTCTGTAATAGATCCAGGAGCAGGAATATCACAAACATGACTCCTTTATCATTTCTGCTCAGAAACCTGGCAGTGAGGTGCACAAGGACTGCACCTTAGCTTTGCCAGACTTGATGGTCTTGTTTTAATAAAATCATATGATTCCTGCTGCCTTGTACCATGCTTGTTGGCACTGTTGGCCTTGGATGGCAAGAGTGATGTGGCATGCAAACTAAACCTCTCCTAGTGCTTTTCCTTCTCCATGCCTGGCTGGCTCTGAGAGCACTTCCCTGGGAGCTGCCACTGTGCCTGCCTTGGGGAATGGTTTTAGTGCCACATTTTGCCCTGTATTTCCCAAGACACCACTCCCAGCCCTTCAAAGTTTGCAGTGCTGAGGAACTGAGCCCCACAGGAATGAAAAAAAAAGGAGATGAACACAGAAAAGTGCATTAGACTTGAATGAAGTGAGAGACTCATATAGGTTCATTTGAGCAAGAGATGTGCAACTGCCCTTAAGAAGTAATTGTTAAGGAGGAATAGAGAAGGGAATGGGAAGACTTAAAGAACCTGAAGTAATTTAAGATTCTAAAATTAATGACTATTAGCTTCTGCTTTGGTGCTCATCCCAGCACCCTGAAGAACAATAAAGTATCTCAATTTTCTACATAACTAGTACAGTCTCCAGGCAAATAATGGAAAATTGTTGATGCAGGAGTACCCCAAGATGCCCCTTCCATCCAGCTCCTTTTGAGAGGAAGACAGGAATGTGTGGGTGATTCCAAGCTGGGAATGGATTAGACAATTCCTTTGCTGAGCTGAACTCTGTGGGATGCTGCAGCAGGATTAGGGTTTGAGGTACCCAGCTCCACATTGTGCCATCCACTGCTGCCAGTACCAAGGTTTTGGAGGAAGGAATGGGATGTTGAAGAGATTGTCTGTCTTTGGCACAGGGATAAGAACTATGTTTTATTAAGTAATGCTAGTACAGTACAAAAATATGATTGCATACAATCTGAAAAATATGGCACCACTGAAAACAGTCTTTTCTCCTTTTGTATGCTTTCCTTAAATATACATTGTAAATGCTTCTAACCTTTTTTTTTTACCAGCATTGGGAAAGGAAACAAAGTCTTTAAATCACAGTCGAGATAAAGGGCAGCCAACAGTGTAATCTGAATTGTCTTGGCTTTGCTTTAAAATGAAAGATCTTCAGAAGAATAAGAAAAAGCTGCCAGAAGAGGCTGAGGAAAACAAAGCCAAAAAAGTTCCTGTTTGGAGGATGTAAGAATATTCAGAGTTTGAAATTGTTTGTTTTAGGAGCAAAGTCTCCCAGGACTGACAAAGGCTTCTAGGAGAGGAGAATCAGGGCACCACCAGAGCCACGGAGGGGATGACCTGAGTGTTCCCAGGCAGCTGGTGCTTGGCCAAGGCCAAGGCTGAGCTCTGCAGTTTGCAGCAGCCCACGTGCTCACTGCTCTGCCCTGGGCCTTCTTCAGCACCTCTCTGATTTCCATGGCACTGGGATCCCAGGTGGATCAGGTATTAAAGTGGGAGAAACTCTTCTACCTGATCAAAATATAGTTAGCTTTTATTTTATTCTATTTTATTTTATTCTGGACAATTATATTTATGTGTAAGGAAAAAGAATTCCTGCCCGCAAATCATTATGTCTCCAACAACATCTGGAAATAATATTTGGGGTAAAGCTCTCTTTTTTCCAAAGAAGCCAAGTGAATTAGGATCCAGTTTTCTCTCTTTACTGCCAGACAACTGCTGTTTTATTCAGAAGTTTTGCTTCTGAGCCTCATTCTTAAGAAGAGATAACAATTTTGGAGTTAAATACCATCAATATGCACGGAAGCTAGCCTGCAATATCAAACCCTGTGCATTCTTACTAATAAATATAATTGCTGGCACCATTAAAGCAGCCTACTTTAAAGATAAGTTATCAAAACGAGTTCTTTTGCAATACAGACACTAAACTTGACCTGGTACAGATGGAGAGAAACCTTTGATTTTGAAAACTACCCAGACCTGCCAGAGGCTCATAGGACAGTCTAAAGTCTTGTCTAGGTGATGAAACTCTCTGGCAGGACATCCCTGGGGCAGCTGTCACAGCACAGTCCCACCTTCACCAAGATTCCAGCGTGTTTCCTGTCGGGATGTGAGTGCTGCTCGCTCTCACCCTGTAGGCAGCCCAAATGGAAACTGCATAAAGAAGAGAAAATAACACTGCTTGTGGTGGGCATCAAACCTGCCCAGAGCTTGGCAAAGCTGAACTGGAAGCCAAGGCAGGCTGGTGAGAGTGTGATTCTTATTTCAGTCCCTAAACTTCCATGGGCTCCACTGGCAGCTGAAGTGCTTCTGTATGGGTGAGAAATAATATCTTTCTGATGATTTTTCATCCCTACCATGTCTTCCTCCAGCCTTATTCTGTGCCAAGAAGTGGCACTGGAGCTCTAGTGAAGCAGTAGCTGTGACATAAATGCATCTGCACCCAGAAGGCCTAGGATGAACATGGGGTTCTTCCAGGTACAGCTGGAGCAGAGTGAAGTGAGGCAGAAATGTCTCTCTCCCCCTTGCTCTGCTCCTGCCCGCGGTGTTTGGGTTTGATGTAGGACCAAAGCTCAGCTGGGTGGGAACATGGTGCATGGGATCTGTTGAGCTACAAGCAGCTCTTTTAGGAATGAAACAACAACCCTGCTGTGCCCTGGACAGCCATCCCAGGCAGCCTGGGGGGGATGGAAGGTGTCTGGACCACGACCAGGTTGCCCCACTGCACAGTACAAGGTCCAGGCATCGAGACAGGACATTTTTACCCAAATGGCAGCAATTTGAGGTCATTCACCTGCATGAGGAAGGAGCTGTGGTATGTGGGTTGCCAAGCCTCTGCTGTGCTGCTGGGCAGGGAGGGAAATTCCCTGGATTTGCCTTTCATCTCAGACAAGGACACACCGTTTGAAGCAATCGCAAACCGCAGCTGGCACAGCCGGCCTGGCGCACGCCGGGAGAGTTCAATAATTCAGCAAAAAACCCAGAGCCAGCAGCAGACTTGGGCTCCAGCCAAGGCTCGGGACGTTGTCCCAGCATCAAATAACGCCTCTGCTTGAGATCTCCCTGCTTGGGAAAGCACCATCTGCCAGGGGAAGGAGAAATCCTCAGCCCACAGGTTTTCTGCTGCTCCAGTGGAGGGAAAGGGCTGATGTGCTGGTTCATGCTCCCACTGTGTAACCCTGTGACCTTTCCCTGTCTCAGCAGTACAGAGGGACTCAGAAAACTGGGTGGCCTTTGCCAAAATATTTTCCCTAGTCCATGCAGTGACCACTGTGGTTTTAATCTCTTTTTCTCCCTTTTTTCCTCTCGCTATTCTTGTCCTTTGTTTCTTTATTTCTTTCTCTTTTTTCTTTTTTTTTTTTTTTTTTTTTTCTTCCTTTTAAACTGAAGTGTATTTAGTGCTGGTGAAAGGTGCTGAATTGGCAGCCTTGGAGATGGATGTCCCTCTACCCAGCCCCAGCAAGCCCTGGTGTTTTCTCTGGTGTTTCTCCCCCTGGCATCATCCCTGTGCAGGACAGCTGGCAGGTCTCAGATCCTCTCACCTGCATCTTTCTGTGCTGGCTGGGACCCCCATGGCTAAGCATGGCTCCAACCTCCCACCCCAAGCTTGGGTGCTGCTGAGCTGGGCCAGAGTGGAGCTGGCAGTGCCCCCTTTGCTGTGAGCTCTTCCAGCCTGTCTGCTGTCTGTCTGTCCCCACAGCAGGCAGCAGATCCACAGCCCAGCTCCGCTCCCATCCTGAGCAGGACAGGGAGGAGAGTGGATGCACCCCGTGGCTGCCACTTTTCTCTCTGCCTCCTTTTGGTGCCTAAGCCAGCCCTGACCCCAAGTGCTTCAGTGCAGACTGATTGTCTCTTCCTTCGTGCTCCCTTTCACCCCTCTCCCTAAAGTGCAAACAAACACAACTCAGTCCCCTGGCTGCTGCAGCCAGCTCACACCCAGGGGGACACGTGGGACACCGAGCCCTTGGCTTGCCCACAGCCCCCAAGCCAGGCTTTCAAGTAACACCCTAGAGGAGTTTGGCACATTTGTCCCCTCTTCAAACACCAATCCCAACCTGTGCTACTGCTTGGGCAAAGAGAAACCCCCTTTGCTCCCTGCTTCCCACCTCCCTCCCCCCTTTCCCCATCCCCACTGAACTGTGCCAGCCTCCCCCGTGCTGCCAGGCAGCAGAGAGGGACAAACCAGCCTGCTCCACCTTCCCATCCGTGTTCAAGGTAAACACAGCACCAAAATAGATACAAAAATAGAATTTTGGGTCCATTGGCCCAGCTTCACTATTAATATAACTGCTATGAAATGTCAGAAAATAAAAGCTGCTCTCTCTATACACACCTGCCCCCCACCCCCCTACTGACAGTATTGCCACACGCCCGGTCCTGTCAAAACAAGGCATTGAGATGCCTGTTTTCTCTACATTTTAAATACAATTGCTTCCATCCCCCCATTGTAAACAAACATGGCAGAAAGGGGTTTGGAAAAAAAAAAAATAGAACAAACAAACAAAACTACTTTAAAAATCCTTCATCTTTTCTAGTGTTCTGAATAATATTTCTGCCTCCTGGGACTAGAATCATGTCAGGTTGTTTAAAAGGACAGAAGGTACCTGTGACTTCTGATGAAGGCCCTGATGTCCTTCCTGGGTTTCCTTTGGATGCTCTCTGGTGGGGATATGAGAGATAATGTATTTGCTTTCCTCTATGCAAAAGTCACAAAGTGTTTGATCGGCAAACTCGTGACTAAAAAAAGTAAATATATAAAATAAACAGCAATCCACAGCCTCTTTCTTAAGTTTCCCCCTCTATCCAGTTTTCAAAGTGCAAAACCTAGAGAAGCACAGAATGATTTCCTTGAGGTGTTTTTCCCCTTTTGTTAGGGCTTTCCCCCCACGTGCTTGACTAGAATGGCCTTTCTATAGCAAAAGTCAGATAAAGCATAATTACAGTAGTTTCTGCACATGGAATCATGAATCATTCCAGTGACTTGAGAATCTAAGCTGTTAATAGCATAAAAAAGGATTTTTTTTTTGTTGGTCTTTTTTTTTTTTTGTTTTCTTTTTGCATTATAATTAAGCATGAATATATATTACTATATTACACTTCTTAGATTGCTGGAGCAATCCACATCTTCCTATGCTGCAAAACTAACTCCCACCCTGCTCTCCCCAGATCAAGAGCTTCTTTTCTCCTCCCTGGGCCAGTTACCCTCAGTTCACATGATTAAAAGTCCCTCCCAGCCCCCCCTCCCCATTTTTTTTGTGGTTTTTTTTTTTGTTTGTTTGTTTTTTCCAGTAGATATTGCCGCATTCTTAAATTCATGCATTGCTGCATTGCTATTGCACATATATAAAGGATTGCTCGCTCCCTCCCGGCTGCTGCCCTCCCCTCACTGGTTGTGCACATCCTCTCTGCGGACAATCTTGTAGATGATCCAGTAGAAAATGTTGAAGATGAGGAAGGCCATGGGGAAGCCGATGCGGGAGATCTTGTCGATCTTCTTGGCTCTCTGGATGAAGAGCTTCCTCATCTCCTCGGGGGAGCGCGACGGCGGCGGCACCGGGTTGGCCGTGTTGTTGTTGTTGGCTCCCTTGACAGAGATGCCATCCTTGGCTTGTAGGCAGGCTGGCCCCATCCCATAGGCAGTGAAGTTGAACCTGCCTTCCCCAGCCTCGTCCTCCTGGAACAGATTGAGCATGGGACTCTACTTAAAATGAGATATAGACAGTGCACCCTCACTATAAGGCTCTCCACACAGTGTCCTGCTCTGCATGGGAAAGATGCTCCCACCATGCCTCAGCCCCCCTTGGGCAACCCCCCTGCTCTTGGGAGATCAGCCTTATAGAGGGGTGCCAGCTGTGTGGTGCACAGATGCAAATCAGGGGATCCAGGCACCCCGTGGACAACAGGACTGACTTCCACCCTGTTGAGGTCTTTGACACATTTAAGGGTTTGTGGCGCTGCTCTCATTTTTCCAGCCGCATCCCCTGTTTTGCTTCTGCCTCTCCCTCCCCCCACCCCTCCTATCAGCACCTTCTTTGCTTTGCCTGTGCAGTTTCAGCTTGCCCAGAAGGAGTGGGCTCCATGTAACTCACGTAGCCAAAGCCGCAGCTGCTTCCTACGGAGTTACATGGACACGCGGGAGCCAGGAGCTGTCCAGGAAAAGAGCTCTGCAGCAGCGAGCAGCCAGCCCTCACTCGCCTGCCCACGGCACCCCACGGCCATCCCCACCAGCCAGCTTCCAACTCAAGTGCCCTGTGGGTCAATGGTCAGGCATGGCTGCTTGTGGTAATGCCAATTATTGAGAAAAAATACAATTCCTGCTCCTATCTAAAGGCAAATGGTGTTGCTGTTTTTTGGTTTTGGTTTGTGGTTTTTTTGGTGAAAGCTTTGCTGGAATCCCAGAATGATTTAGCCCTATTTTATTGAACACAGGGGTGTAATGACAGTGAAAACCAAGTTTGGACCAAGTAATTCAAGCAGCGAATTGCAGAGGCAGAATCCAAAGTCTCTTGACTACAGGTCACCAAGGCTAATTGTAGACCAGTGGCATTAATTAGTCATTAGCAGAGGCTGATCCATGCTGTGTCCCCCAAAACTGACCTAGCAGCCCCCTCCCTTGTAGCTGCCTGCCCACTGTGCCCTGCTGCCCCTTGCCCTGTCCTTTGCAGAGTTTCTTTTCTGGATGGCACCTGCATCCCATGAGCAGCTGCGTGGGATGGAGGAGCAGGACACAGAGGACACTGCCAAGTCTGAGCAAAACAAAACTACCCAAATGAAATCAAGATCTGGCTTTCTGCAATACTCAGAGCTTATGGACCTTCTCATCATGTCTGTAGTGCAGGGGTTCAGGTAAAACTGCCTCTCCTCTTTTCCCATTGCACAAACAAACACTGGCACATGTCTGGCTTAACCTAAACCACTCAATCCTTAATTCACTGGATTTTTTTATCATTTTGTTGCTGAGGGGCCACTGGCTGTGACTTTGTTTTGGCCACTGTGGCTTTGTTTTGGTGGGTGCTGTAGCAGGGTGAGAGAAGACAATAGAGCCTTTTTCAAGGTGCCATGTCAAAGGAGAAAGGCAAAGACATCACCATGCACACTGGGAAGTGTTTCCAAATACACCTCATGGTGTCATGTTAACCAGACTGGTCCACACCACTGCAACATCTCACTGTTTTTTTCAGCCTGATGTGTCATGCCTAAACCTGTCAGAGCTACCCAGTCAAGTCAAGACATCAGGACAGAGCAATTAGTGCCTTTGGCAGCTGCATTAGCCCACTGGCATATTATCAGTCAGCTTGGTTTTCTGATGAGCCTGCAAACCTTGTTCATTTAGCTTTTGTAAGTGTTTCTGTTTGTGCTTTGCTCCAATTACATAGCTGTGAGATTGGGCAGGGACTGTGCTAACAGCCTTATGTTCAGTGGAACAGCTCTGGCAAATATCTTTAAAACTCCTTTTGCATTAGTGAGGTTTTTTTCCTTCTTATTTTTTATCAACAGATTTATCTGCATACAACAGCACAGATCCAGAGACAGGATGCCTGAATCTAGAGGAAGAGATAAATCCACAAATGCATCCATGTGGGCAGGTTTAGCTCTGCCTCTACTCAGCAGGCTGCATCTTTTGAAACAAAGCTTTGTTGATTTTGGGATGGCAGAGCCACCCTGAGTGCTGAGGATCTTATCTGTTACTTCTTTTCCTTTGCATTTGTCCAATACTTTTCATCCCTGGTCCTGGCTGGGCTGAGCACAAGTGAACAATTATCTCTTGTTTTGCAAATAGGATGACTGAAGCAGAAAGAGACAAATCTAGAAAGATACAGAGATTCCTGCTCCTCAACCTGTACTTCCTCCTGGAATAGTGGCAGTTCTCCAAGCACACACTGTGAAGTGCTGCAGGACAGGTTAGACATGGGGAAAGACTTCTAATCTCTGGGCCAGTGAAGCAGTTGTATGGGAGTAATTTTCTGGATGGCATGGATCATGGAGGGCTCTTTTAAAATAGAGGGGACAAATACCTATGAGAAATATCTAAGGCAGACCTTGGTGGTCACCTATGGGCTTGCTTGAGATTTTCATCAGCAAAATGTTCTTTGTTTTTTTCTCTCCTAGCAAATGTACTGGTTTTTAATGCTCTCCCTAGGGCAGCCTCTAAGGCCTGGTGCTGAAAATTTCCTAACCCCTTTCCTGATTCTACCAGTTAAACAGGAACAATTTGTAAGTGCCTTTGGCCTTGTGGTCACAGACACCTTTTTGTTTCTTTCTAGTGTGTTCTGTGAAGTGAAATCTTTGCTGTGGCACCTCAGCCTAGAAGCTGTTAGAGCCCAGGCCAGGGAGCTGTCGGAGCTGCGTGCATGCTCGGATTGGGATTGGGATTGGGATCAGCCACGGCAGGTAAGCATGGAGCAGGCTAAGGCTAAGAATAAAGCTCTTTCCTTCCAGGAGGAATGTGCAGTCGGTCTGAGAAGCAGATGCTTTTGAACACGGAGATGGCAGAGACAGACGAGGTGTCACTTACCTCTGGGCTACTGTAGGCTGTCATCCTGGGGGTGCTGCTCCCTGACACCTCCCTGCCTGCCTCCCCCCAGCCCTGGCTGCAGCTTCTGGGGAGCAGAACTCACACCAGAACGTTGCTGTGTGAAAATTGGCCTGTTGAGAACAACCCTTTGGGCTGAGACCACCTGGCTGGCTAACAAAACCTGCTGGACTCTGGGGTTCCAGCAGGCTGTTAGAACAGACTCAGTTCCTTGAGGCAGCCCTTGTTTTTGGTGTGTGAGCCTTCTTAACATCTGACCAGCTACTGGGGACTTCCCAGGGGGCTAGTGGCTCGGTTCAGTTGGCCATGGTGTCCTGCTGGGACAGTTTTCAGCTGTGTCCTTCATGCTTTATGTATTACCTTATGATGCCTCCTCTTCCTTCTGAACCTGAGCAGCTCTTTGTGCTGCCGAGACACGAAGTTGACGGCAGCGTATTCCAGAAGAGCAGAGAACACAAACAGCAAGCACACGGCCATCCAGATGTCTATGGCCTTCACGTAGGACACCTAGGAGTCAGAGAAAGAGACAGAAATGAGATGGCTTCCTTACCCAAAAGCATTTTCACTTGGTGTTTTACATGTCTGACAGCTGTCCTTCATACCAGAATCTCGCTCATTTAATGTGAATGTGTTATCAGGTCACTGAAACTCCTCATGGGCTCTTAAGTAGCAATAATTCCACAGCTTTTCATTTATTCAGGCCTTGACCATGATTGTTTATCACATTATTTATATGCAAGGAAAGCAGTAGTCCACCAGAAGCCCTTCATAAAGGTAAATTCAGTGGTATTACAAAAGTAGGATGGTCAAGTGACTAAAAAGCTAAAATGTAGAGTGCACATCAATGTGTGGTTGTTGCAGGGGTTTGTAAAGTACAGAGCTCCTGGTTACTGGGAGCTGTGGTGAGTGCTGAATCTTTGGGGAAGTTTTGCTGCTAGTCATAGAGAATTAAAAAATTTTCAATGTGGGACTGCAATTCGGTCAGTTTGCCCTTAAGCTGGACTTGTACAAAGGCAGCAGGAGGATCTGTGTAGGGATTTACTTAGGTGCTGTCCCCAAAAGAGGCATGATTTCCCTGGTGAAGATGAGGCTGTTCCCTACCTTGGGCAGTGATGCTCGGGAGCCAGAGCTCTGCGTGGTCATGGTGAGCACGGTGGTGATCCCCAGGCCCACACGAGCAGGTGCTGCATCCATGTTGATCCAGAAGGAGATCCAGGACAGAATGACAATGAGAAGGCTGGGGATGTACATCTGGATCAAGTAATAGCCCATCTGCCTCTCCAGGTGGAAACGAGCTTCTATACAGGTGAACTTGCCTGAGGAGGATGGGAGGTACAAGGAAGGTTATTGGTAAGGCACGGGGAGCCTCCTGTTTTCAGCCAGTGTCTGGGGATTTTCCTTGATAAAACAGAGTCTTGTTAGGGGAGGAAATGAACAGCTGGTGTCCAGGACAAAAGGGAATGGCTTCAAACTGAAAGAAGGTTTAGATTAGATATTAGGAAGAAATTCTTCCCTATGAGGGTGGGGAGGCCCTGGCACAGGTTGTCCAGAGAAGCTGTGGCTGCCCTGGAAGTGTCCAAGGACAGGGCTTGGAGCAACCTGGGATAGTGAAAAGTGTCCCTACCCATGGCAGGGGGTTGGAGCAATATGGTCTTTAAGGTCCTTTCCAACACAAACTATTGTAGGATTCTATGAACATTAACGTAGCAAAGAAAGCCCTTTGTTGTATGTCCTTTGTCACTTAAATTTTAAATACAAAAGAAGGTTCTAGGAGAGAAGATCCTAACCAAACATCCTTGAATTGATGTGGATGTTACTGGGGACAAGAGGATTTCACACATTTATGTCCATTAGCTTTTCATTTGCTATACATACTTCTACATGTCTGTTATCTCTGGAAGTGTAAGACAAGGCCAGAGTGCCATCAGACAGAGGAAGAGACTCTGGCAAATTCACAGTCCTGAATTCCTCTCTACTGAACTCCTCAGTTAAGGGTTAACAGCACTGACCTGTGTTGTAGTGCTTTGTGCAGTATCTCAAGTCTTTTTCTTCTTTGAGGATAAACTGAGGCAATGTCAGCCCATCAGCAACTTGCACTGCTCCTTTTTCTTGCCACTCAAATATGAGATCATTCATCGTGTAGCCAACTGTAGAGAGGAAGGGACAAATGTAACATGAATCACATTAAACACTGGTCTGGAAAGGGACAGTGTTGCAGAAGAAGAGAGCTCAGAGGCAAGGGTTCATCCTGGCCTTCCTTGACTGTCATGAATGGGATTTGGGTTGAGGCAAAACTGCTTGTTCATGTGGTGAGAGCCAGGGCAACGACCTCCCCTGGAGCTGCAATGGATTTTCTGCATCTAATCACATTTTTTCTTGAATTTGGCTTGCTGAACTGTTTTCTACTGTTTCCAGCTTGACCTCTTTCTCTGGAAGAAGCTCATCATCTTTCCCTCCTTTGGGATAAGCAGCATGTTCAAGTGGCAGATGTTCATCCAGAGAGAAAACATCCCACTTGCAGCTGAAAGCACTTCCACCTCTCTCCTGCAAAGTGGAAGGCCGATGTAAACACAAGCAAGCCAGGGCTCCTGGCACGGGATCTTTTGGGGTTTGGCTTCTCTAGCAAATGTCACATGTTCTGCATGAATGGAAAATCCTAAGCAAGAGGTTCCTGAGCAAGCCTCCAGCAAAGGCTGGGCTGGGAACGGGTTGCAGATGGGAAAGGAGATGTCAGGAGAGAGCAGCAGAGAAAAGAGGCTGTCTCCTCTCCAAAATGGGGATGTGCACAGGACTCACAGCTTTCTAACTGCATGATGCACGTCTGTACGTCCATGGGGAAGTTCTTCAGGTCCATGGGGCAGGCCAGGGTCAGCGTGATCCTGAGGAGAGAAGAGAGCACAGGGAATGCCAGACAGTGAGCCCTGCTGGGGGCTGAGCCCCTCAGACACACCCAGCTGGGGATCCACTGATCACCCATCCCTTCCCTGCCTGTGCTGGACATTCGGGGCTGTGCATTCCCAGCAGAGGGCTTTGCATTGCAACGCTGCTGGAGACTGTACCAAAGACTTCCCCCACCAAACAGCTCTGCTGCCTCGCTTTTCCTGTCTTGCCTCAGGTTCACAGCAGGCTGGATTAGCAGAAAGTCAAAGCCCACTCTCTGGAACCCCCAGACGCATTTCTAGAGACTGGCACTGCTCATAAATCTCTGAACAGAACATTTCCGTGCCATAAAAAAACCCACCAAAAAGAAGTTTGATCAAGATCACATGTTTGTGTATGGGGAAAGAAAGACTTGAGTGGGATTTTCTGCAGGGAAAATGCCCTGTGCCAAACCAATATAAACTCCTGTATCTTCCCAAATTCCTGCAGAGCCCTTTAGACCTCTATTTCTGTCTCCATTTTCCACTAGGTGCAGGCTGCATTTTCTGTGTTATTTTGCTGTGCTGCTCTGTACCGTGATCTATGCTTAAAATGTTTGGTTGGTTCAACAAGCTGATACTAAATGATTTGCTGCAGATAGTTAGACTTGAGTTATTTGGTTTGATAATGTTGAAAATGCTGTTCCCTGAAGTGTTTAGGGTTTTCAGTTTTTTGCCTTGATGTAGAAATAGCAGAATTACCCAGGGGACAGAAATTGAATTTTTCTATTATCAGACCTACAAGAAACTTATAAGGAGGGAAAGATACTTTAATTTAAAATTTTATGTTGTTAGAAATTCTCAGCTTGAATTTAGAGGCATGTTGAGACAGAAGATGTGACAAAGTCCACCTTCTTGTAAATGCCTTGCCTAGAGTTTGATTATTGCAAATAGTAGTAGCAAAGAACCAGTTAGAAAATGGCAGAGCACCTTGTAGAGATTTTTTTTTTTAAAGGGAAAGACTATTTCTCCTTCTGGAAACTCTTCGCATTTACAGTGTGCTCTTCTTAAGGAATGTCCTCTTTAATTTTCACAGGAAAATGTACTTATAAAGAAACCTATATTTCTCACTTGGAGATGAATGAGATAAGAAGGCTGTTCTTTCTAAACAAGAACAGTATTTTCAGGATTTTGCCTTGAAAATGGTGATTTTTCCATGTCCCCTGCTGAGTCACTGCTCTGTTTGGGTTGGAGCACCCTGCATTCCCCCTCTGTGCCCCTGCAGACCCTCCTGGAACAGGACTTTGTGCCATGCTCACCACCAAGTTGCCACCCTTAGTTTTGCTCCCTGCCTGTTTTTAAAATGAACAGTGAGGTTTCCCCATTCAGCCACCACGTGGCAATTCTTTTATTGTTTTGGCCATCAGGGAGCTGGTCTTTGGGCTGGAACCACCTTGGTGTTTGAGGGAGGCCTTTGCAGCATTAAGCTCTTTATTTCACATTTTACAGCTCCACTCTGCTTTTCCTTCCCACAGCTGCCACTGGGAGCTGCAGTGTCAGATGGGGTGTGTGTTCCACAGGCAAATTTATATTATACATGAGGTTAAAAAGTCTTCAATATAGAGTTAAACTTTCCCATTCTAAGCTTGTGATGTTTGATCTTAATTTCATTGGTTTAAAATAAAGTGTGAATGGGGTTGGAAGTGAAGGTGGGGGCTAAGGTTGATTTCTTGTGGGAAATTCAGTGCAATTAGTTTGATTTTGCTGATGGATCCTTGGATCTAGCAATAAAGGGGTAACTGGGAAAAACTAGGTTGAGACAAAGCCATGGGGCTCTACTTTGCATTTTCCCTGATTTTTACTTTTTTTTTTTTTGTCAGGAAATGCTGCAGCTTTGAAAATACAGTGTTCATGAGCTTCTACTGATTTTCACCACAGCAAAGCTGGTTTTAGACTTGTGTTAACATAAAAGACACCTGAAGTAATTTTACATTAGGGATGTTAAGGAATCTACTAGCAAGGAGCAGAATCCTTGAACTGAAAGAGGTAAAGATGAGTTAAACTCCATCCCAGAAAAACCCTCTGTCTCAATATGCTTTAGCAGAGGTCCCTTCCCACCACATTGCTTCAACACTGCTAATTGTATGATCTGTCACCTTACAAACCCCTAAATTTCTCCAACAGCATGCCAAAGTCAAGGCTTGAGTGGGGGGTTCCCCACCTTGGTGGAGTCTCCTCACCTGATGCTGTAGAGGACATTGCCGTTGCGGGAGATCCTCAGCAGCTTGTTGTCTGTGGTAATCTCATGGAAATGGGCCCCTTTCTCGTTAGCAAAGAACAAATCAGGCTTCCAGATGGAGTCCAGCATGGAGGGGTCCAGGTCCAGGGAGTCGTCGGGGTACTCGTTGTAGGCCAGCCGGGGGTCGTTCCACTGCTGCCGCAGGAAGATGTTCACCCTGTAATCCTGCACACAGACAGCCAGTCAGGGCTCACAGCAGCCTCAAGGTGCTGGCAGATGGGGAACACACACTAAAATCATCCTAAAATGAGCCAGACCGTCTCCAGGCTTATGGATCCCAAGCTATGCCAAGTGTTTTTGGTATTATTCTTCAAGGAACTGTTATTAACTTTTAGCTTTGTAGCTTACAGCTGTGTCATAGCAGGAGCAGCTGCCTGTCCCTGTGTCCCTCTGTCACAGCAATTGTCAGCTGTGTGGGCAGTGTCAGGACCTCTCTGTCTGGAGCCTGGGGCTGCTGAGGGGATGAGCAGTTGTGGAGGTCAGAACGGCCTCCGTCAGCAGGACGATGTTCCAGAGGATTAAGTGGGGAAAGAAACTGAAACCAGCTTCCTTTCAGTGCTGAACAGTCCCATATTGTGATTATCTGTGGTTCCCCCAGCACTGGGAAAGGAAAAGGCTGTGCATAAAAGAGAAATTCCCTGTGTGTCTGCTAATATCAGGATAACTCAGATGAGCCGATGGGAGCAGCTGCCCTTGGTTAGAGTTTATGAGCAGGAGAGGGATATGCATGAAGTCTGTTCTCCTAATCCTCAGTGTTCTGGGTTCCCCTCTCTAGTGTCAAAATGTCATAAAGGCAACAGATTTTACAGGATGATCATTTCCTTAATTGAAGGTAGTCCCTCAGCACTATGCAAAATTATATTTGCTACATAACCACGAATCTTACAGCTCCCCTAAGTTCCTCAGGTCAAGGCTGGCTGCTGAGGCTGAGTTCAGACACTACTGGAAAAATTTGAGGCAGTTTCTCTTCTCCCTGTCTGACCAACAGCTTCCCACGGTGATCTGCATGCTCCTTTTCTTCTGACTTTCACATAGGAAAGTGTGCCAACAAATTGAAATAGGGAGAGGATGTGCCAGCTATCAGAAAAGGGATGAAAGCTCCACAACCATAAATTAATTGACATTTTCTAAGTATAGAGGCAGACTGTGTCTGAAGAGCAGCATATAATAAACCAATTCCACTGCCCAGGCCCAAATGAATAGTTGTTCTCACAATTAAGGGTTTCTTTGCTGCCTTTCTAACGCAAATGTACTTTGAAGACTTTTATTAGGAGACAGTAAATGGAGGGTGTCTGACGTGCTGGCTGGTGTCTGATACCTGCTGCAGGCACTGGGTGACAGGCTCCCCCTCACTCTGCCACCAGCTCTGGAGGACACAAAGCTCTGGAGCTGAAGGGTGCCAGTACAGGAGAGACTTTCTGGTGCTGCTGCCTCCAGAGCTCACTTGCCTGTGAACCTGCAGCCTCTTGTCCAGGAGGACTCGACTCCCGTGGTGGAGAGGATTATGCTGGGTGCTCTGTGTTTTGGATGAGGCACTTCCTAGCCAAACACATGGTCCAGAGTCTGTTTCAGGCCACTTTGTGCCATCTGCATCCTCAGAGCACAGAAGCTGCTAATTACATTAATAATTGTGACAACAGCAAATGAACCACGGACTTGATGCTAAAAGGAGCAGAGCTCTGAACTCAAAAAAGGACTGCAACACTATTTCCTTCTGCTGATATTCCAAGTGTCACCTTCACAAGTCCTAGTGCATCCCTCTGACTTAATGATTCATCTCTGTCGACCTTGGATAATGTGTCTGGAGGAAATGTGAATGGTTGGGAACAGGTTCCTAGCACAGGACCAGCCCATCATACAAGCCTGGAAAAGGAAAGAAGCCATGAATTCCTACTGGGAGGCAGCAGCTCCCAGAACAAGGTGTATATTTTCAATTCTCCCTTTTCTGTGTGTTGCAGTCAGGGGAAATCAATGTCACTGACCTAATAGGTAGAAAGCAAAAAGCTGTTTTGCTTATTCAGCTACAAATAAGCTAGATGCTAGCAGGTCAGCTCCAGTTTGGGACTTATGTCATGTACAACACAAATTAAACTCATGTTTGGAAGAAACTTCAGTGGTAGCTGCCCAGAAGTGTGCTCAGCCTGATGGAGTAGTAGAAGGGGGGAGGGAATGGAGCCAAATTCCCTACAACAGCCTGAGTTACAGCAGGTAAGCTTTGTTGCTGGAGAAAATTCACTGCTTTGGCTTCCAAACTTGCCAAAAGGACAGAAAAGGGTGGGACAGGAGGTGTTGAATGGTTTCTACTGCCACCACAGCAGGCATGAGACCATAGGAAGAAGAATAGCCATAGTCTTTGTAACCATGAGGAGGCAGCTTAATTAAATGCTTGTGGGCCAGATGAAAATTAACTTCTCACAGTGGCTGGCTGTGAAAAGGCCCCTCCTAACTCATCTCTAGGGTCACAGTGTCCTGTGCTTACATCCTGCTGAGAACAGTCCAGGGGCACATGGGGAATGAGTGGTGTGAGAAACTGCACCTCCTCCACCCCAGGGATGTGCAGCAGTGGGGGAGTAACTCTGGTCTGTGTTACTCTGTGTTCCTACTTTGCAGACAAGTGTTTGCTCTGGATGATTTTTGTTTTGGAATACAGAAAATGAAGCGTTTATGTTGTGATATAAAAAAGGCAAGGATGAAGAAATAAGATACCTGCACTGAATGCAATTCCCTGGCTTTGCCATTTCAGGGCATTAATATTTTACCTCTGTGTGTGCATTTATGAAGATCTTCCTACTCAGGGAGTTTACTCACAGCCCTGGCCTGCTCACTGAGGACATGGTTTTCTCCCAGATTTGCCCTTATGTCATTGCACTGCAATGTTGAATGTTCTGAGCAGCCTTTTAGGTTTCTTGTGTCCAGCCTTATTTGAAGATAAATGTAAAAACAAGCACTGTGACTGCAAACTGGCCGTGACACAGCCTGGGGAGCCAGCAGAAGGCATGGGGAGCAGTCAGGATATGTCTGTGCTGTGACACAGGCTAAGAGAAGGGTTACACTGCTCTGCACCAGCTGAAGATGCTCTGTGCTGAAAGCTTTGTCCTCAGCATTGCAGTCAGGCTGGGAGGTGATGAGCCAAGGAACACTCATTCCTTGGCTACCTGGAGATATGCAGCATTTCTCCTGGACGCTGTTTTTGGAGATCTTAATTAGCATCCCCAAGAAGTTCACAGTTATTCCTCAATGATGGACAGCACTGGCCAATTTCTGATGTGAACTTTCAAGCAAAGAAAAAAGATGTTTGACTGGGGCTACAAACTTGGCAAAAAAAAAATAAAAATTCTCTTTCTCCATACTCTTCTTATCCCTCACATTCTTCATTTGTGTGCCTATCACATCCAGGCATTGATTATCTTGTGCAGCCTGCTCCTCTGGCTGGCTTGGGAGAGGGGAGCAGCAGCTCTGTGCACTGAAAGCGTTCAGGAGCTTTGCAATTTTCACAAAGGCATTTTAGTCCCAAGAGGGAAATGACACAAGGCAGGAAGAGAATAACTGGAGCGATCAGAGTAGTTCAATTTGATAATGCTGAAATGAAATTCTGCTTAGTGACCTCGCAAGGAGACAAGGAAACAGAAGATCATTTGAGACCTTCCCTTCCCAGGATCCCATAGCCTTGACGTCTCCTGCTGAAAGCAGAGGAGCTGGAGGCAGTGCTGAGCAGGAGGGATGGAGCCTCTCAGGACACTCAACAGGTTTTCCCTCCTGACTCAGTGGTTCTGTCAGAGCAGCCTCTGCACTGAACAGTCTCGGGGAGAGATTTCTCCTTTGATAAATTTACATTTTGCTGATGGAAAAAAACAGGGTAGAGACTGATCTCGTTTAGAAGGGGATTCTGGGACCCCACCTGGGCAGCAGAGCACGAGGGGCTTTTATTAGCATTGAGTTAATTCACTAGAATGGGAATGAACAAATATTTTGAAGGCAACCTGCCTTGCCAAGGAGCACTACAACAGACTGTAAAAAACCCAAGCACACCAGGAACAGCCCTAGGGAGGATTAATAGCTAAATAACCAGTTTGAAGCCTGTGTGAAACCACACCTGGTTGAGGGGAGAAGAAGTCTGTATCAGAGAAGGGCAGGCACCTGGTGCTTAGTAAGTGTGAGGATCTTTATATTGCAATCCAAAGCAGAAAGCTTTTCTGTGTCTTCCTACAAAAAGTGGGGAATATGTATCTTTTTGAGCCAGTAGAGCTGCTGGGATGTGAGCTGCAGCCAGCATCCAGAATTGTAAATGTAGGTATTTAGTAGAAAGGTTTTGTTTTTCAGCTTGAGGGGGTTTTGTGTCCCTGTATTTGAGTTGCACAGTCCTATTTCACGGATTCTTCTCGCTGTTCTTTTCTTTTCCCTCTCCATTAATGAAAGGACAAACTCCAGCCACAGACAGCTGCAGGTCTAACACTGAGATGGCAGCAGACTGAGTTGTTGTGAAAACCTTTTCATTTTGTGTTGCGTGACTTGTTAAGTGCTTATCATCTCTGTGGGACTGATGGTTGGGTTTCAGAATGACTGACTGCAGGAAATTTTGCTCAAAACCTAACTTTTGCTATGGGCTTTGTGCATTGAACCTTGTATCTTTTGCTGATTTTGGAGTGAGTGTTAAATGTGTGACCCAAGTTCTTCATCAGAATCTCTGCTCTTCTGGGTTCTGTGGGTCTTGATTGAATTTCTTGGTCTGCTTTGCAGGGTGCTTTGTTTTCTCGTTGGAAATCTTATGTGCAGATGTCTCCGAACAAGCATTTAACATTTGGACAGTTGCAGCCTCCAGCTTCTCCTGTCCTCAGGAGATGCTGGGAGCCCAGTTGTGCCTGTGCTGCAGCTGGCTGGAGGGCCACATTTGCTTTGCTCTTTTCAGATGACATACCTATGGCATGAAAGCAGCAAAAGTGAATTTGCATATTTGCACTGTGTCTACAGGAGGCTGTGCTGGCTCTTCTGTGATTTTTTTCTTTCTTTTTCAGTCCCTTCTTTGCTGTGTGTGGGTCCTTATTAAAAGAAGAGTCTAGAAAAGCTCATCCCGAGTCCAGCTGCTGGCATTGCTAGGTGATGATATAAAAATATCTTCCTTCTTCTCCCTGTGCTTCCACTGAGTACAAAATGGTCCCAGCTCCCTAAGCCAGTGGAAGGCCATAAAACTGCAGCTTCCACTGGAAGAGGGAGCAAGGGCATCACTTAATTTCAAGTTTGCTGTAATAGCAGGGAATTTGTTAATGAAATGCTCAGATATTCCTATCAGTTGCCTCATCCCCCAGAGAAAAGCCAAAGCTGGTGCAGTTTATTTATTTAAAACCCAGGACCTGTCCCCAAGGTGCCTCACTTCTATTTATTTGGAATGAAGACTTTCTACATTTGCTATAGATTTCATAATCTGGTATAGCTGTGGAGTTGTTCATGCTTTTGAACAGCAAAAAGGCTTTTAAGAGCTTGTGTTTGGGGGTTGTTTGGTGTTTGTCAGAAAAATAATTGGAGAGAGTGGCTGCATCCTGCACCTGTCCTCGGGAATCCCTTGCTGTTGGATGCATTCCTGCAGTGATGCTTTGGGACAGGAGGAGTCTGCACTCATCTGGCTCTTGGGGTTGGTTCTCTCTTCCCTTTGGAGCACTGGCTGGGTTCACAGGGATGTGTTCCCAGTCCCAGCCTCCTTTGTCCTTAGAGCTCCAGGCAAGTGAGGCTGGATATGAGCTCTGAGCTGCAATCCAACACAAATGTCCAATCAATTATGTGCACCACTAGAGGCTTTTATGTTGGTCTCCAGCTCTGCAGGATGCTTAAAGGAGTTACTTCCCTTGCTCTAAATCAGCTTTGCCTTAGGAAATCAGTTTGGTGGATGACTTTGCCTTTTAATTTTTTTTAATTTTTTTTTTTTTAATTCCCCCTAACTTTGCAGCAGTTTTCAGATCTCCATTTCTTGCTTTGTTCATTTTGAACCTTTGTGGGGCAGATAGCAGCTTTCTGACCAGTCTGGGGAGTTTGTGCCTTCTCTTGGCTGCAACTCACTTTCTTTCCTTATGAGGTTTGTGGACCCAGCTGTCTGCATCAAATACCTGGTTTTTTTTTTCTATTTTTCTGCATTTTTCCTCTTCCTCTACTTTCCACGAGGCCTCAAGCCATATGTGAGCACTCTCCCTGTAATTTCTTTAATCCTCTGCATGGTGAGCTCGTGGTTTACACTAATTTGTGATATTCAGGCAGTGTAAACTTAGAAAGGAGCAGTGGTACTTTCTGTAGGAAGTATCAGCCCACTGTGGAGATATTTTAAAGCCTTCTCTAACTGCATGTGGGGTACCCTTAAAACCCTGTGACTTCTCCTGCAGGAATTAGTGTAACAGTAATGAAACATAAGACGATGTAGTACTCAGACCTGAACCTGACCAGGCTTAGAGTGCCAAATGATGGGGGTTTAAAACATAATTTTCATTCTCTTTTTGGCCAGTGAAGCAGCTGGGGGAGTTTTGCCATCATCAGTCCCAGAGGTCAGTGATAGGCTATGGCTTTCTTTATGGTAAAACACTGATTTGCCACCCCTTCCTCTGATGTTTGACCACTTGTTCCACTTGAATGCAGAATAGTCAGGTCTGTCTCAAAAGCCCTTCAAGGCAGGACACTGTGTTCTTCCCAGAAAGAAAGTTCTTCCCAGCTCTGTTGGGGAGCTGACACTGCCTGTTTGTCCTGCTGCATCCTCAACCAGCGGGGAGGGACTGGCTGCTCTGCAGAGTAAATCCCAGGTTACAAATCCCCAGGACCTCTCCAGCTTGCTGAGATCTCCTCTTCAGCCGTGTCAGTACCTGTGTTTCTTGTGTTGCTGCTGGTGTTTACGAGCAGAACTGCTGCTCCCGCGCAGGAGCGATAGATCAGGCTGTGAGCGATGCTGCGGCAGCCTGACATCTGGGCTGGCTTGCCAGAGCTGCCTTGGATGTTTCTAGACAAAGCAATGTGCCCACAGGGTGTTCTGGCTTCCCACGGGAATTTTTTTCTTTTTTTTCCATGGAAGATTGCCTATGAAATGAGTGGCATCTGGAGATGATAGCGAGTCCCTGCAGCGTGTCTTGGAGGTGAACTGCATCTCTCTTGTGCTAGTCTGTGCTAATTTTAAGGAGCATCCTGCTTACAGGGATCATGTGGCATCTTTGGTTGCTCCAGTGCATCTCGCAATGTGGAGCAGATGCACTGAAAAGCATGTCAATGGAATGTGCTCTGTAAACTGCACAGATCCTTTGTGGGATTGTCGTGCTCCCTTGCTTTCTGGATTGGTGCATAGGAACAGAATTTATTGCCTGTAACGCCAAAGGAGGTAACCAATAATCAGTAAATTAGGAACAAATGTGTATTTCAGTGGCAGTTCTTCCTCTTTTGCTTTATATACAAATGAACCCACGCCATGCTCCTCACCTGTGAGCTCTGACAAATTCTGCAGAGCAGAGAGGAAATCAGTTTCCTTGTGCTTGGACAGAATAACAGCTTTTGTTTCCTCCTCCACTACCAGAACTGAACTGTCCCAACCCAAATATTTCCAGCAGAATGATGTAGTGTCAGAAGAGACTTATAACCTGAGCTGTATGGCTGTGGCTCTCCTCTGACAGTGGTGTGCATGCCAAGTAATTTGTTCAAGTCAAGGGGTGTGATCTATATGCAAAGCCTAAAACTTCCTGCCTGAATGCACAAAACGCCTGAAGCTGGAGCCTTGCATTCTTCATTCAGCATTTTTCTAGAAAAAGAATTACCAGAGGGTAATTAAACACCATATTTCTGGATTATCTTTAATTAGCACAGCAGTAAGGCACAATACCTCCAGAGTTTTCCTTTGCTGTTCACTGGTTATGTCACAACCAATCTTTAATAGTTTTCAGATGGAGCAATTATCTCCTGTTCTAGTGATCCTCTGCTCCTAGTGCTTTGCCAATTAGATACAGCCTTTAGCCATGCTCACTAATTTTGTATGAAGTGAGCCTTAACTCAGAAATATTGGCTTTGATTTTCAACTAAAAATCATTGTCTACCAGAAATATGTCTCCAAGAAAACAATAATCTTAATCTTTAATCTAATAATTCTCTTAATCTTTGGGAATCTGAAATCCTGGTGCAAACTGCATTTGAGTTCAGCTGATTTCCCTTCCCCTTGAATCCAGATTAATTTTGGATTTATGCCCACTTAGACACAAAGTATGTGTAACTGTCGCTGAGGTTGCAGCCATAGGCAAATCTTCAGAAAAGGATTATTTGTTTTCCTTTCTGACCCTTGTCCTTTGCCCATGGAGTGTTTTCATAAGATGCAGATGGAGACTGTGTGATCTTCAGCTACATGAAATGAGTCTTGTGTGTTGACCATTAATTGACTCAAATTTTGAATGAGTTTGGGAGCACTGAGTGTTTTTCCCTGGTCACTCTGAGGAGGAGGGTGATGCTGCATTTTCTGGGAGCACAGCGAGGCTGAGCCAGTAGCTGAGCAGCTGTGCTGTGATTTTTACTTACCATAGTTGTTTCTGCAATCGAACCAAAGCTGTTGATGAAAATGTTGCAGCTGACGTTCACTGGTGGGCCTGCATGACAAACACAGATTGGATCAGCAGTTCAGTGTGTGCTCGTGAAACAAAGGATTTCCACTCGGTGCAGTTAAAACCTGCTGTGGGAATGGGTGACTGAGGGGTAGCAGGGGAGTAAGGCCTGGCTCTGGTCTTGGTTTTGACACCAGACAGTGCTTGTGCTCTGCTTCTGTTCCCCTGTTTGGTAGAGTGTTTATAGATCTCTGCTGGGAATGGTTCAGATGAACAGGAGTAGACCAGAGGCAGCCAGGACAGTTTCTAGGTATCTTGACCTGGCTAGATGGGTGCCACTCTCACCTTGAACGTGATAGCAAAGCATCCCAGAAAGGAGCTGAGAGACAGCTGACTTTTATTTAGAGCTGTACTTATGAAATAAGTTCACTGTTCCTGAGCTAGGATGATATGCTCCCATCAGAGCCAGTGCAGCAGAGTGAGCTGTAGGGATTGGGCTGGCTAAAGCAGCAAATACCCCACCTGCTGATGGTGGTGTTGGGGAGCTGGCACTGCCTGCTTGACCCTCTGCATCCTCAAACAGCAGGGAGGGACTGGCTGCTCAGCAGTGTAAATCCCAGCTTGCAAATCCCAAAGACCTTTCCAGTGTCCTGAGATCTCCTTTTCAGCTGTTTCAGTACCTGAGTTTCTTGTGTTGCTGTCGGTGTTTCCAAGCAGAATTGCCTGTAAGCCCCAAACCCCAGGGGATGATCCTGATTCAGTCTGCCAGGGCTCACAGCTGGCTAGGAGAATTCAGGGCTCTGCCAGCAGGAATTCTCTGGCTGTCCTGTTTGGGCAGAAGGTAATCCTGGTGTCTGGGCCATGCTTCTCCTGGGCTTGATTCCCCTTCAGACCAAAGCTTTGGTTGCCCTGCTCACACTGGAGAAGTTAAGGGGTCACCAAAGGAAAGGAGGGAGGGTTAAGGGGTGAAAAGATTTTGGTTTGAGGGCATGGGGGTCAGTCTGTTCCTGTGGTACTGATCCCCAGAGATGTGACTGGAAGGGTTTCACAACATTGCCTGCAGAATCTGAGGCAGAAATGCTGCATTTACACAGGGGGAGATGCCGAGAGCTGCAGCTCAGCACAAACCAAAATGCTGGGGGATGTTTTGGAACCAGGGCACACCTGGTGCCTGGCAAACCTGTGGCTTTCCCACACATAATGAGAAGGTTTTTTGCAGAGGGTTGGAGCAAAAGGGGCCTCTGCTCTGGGGGCTGCCAAAGGCTGCTGTGGGCACTTCCCAGGATGTGGTGGGGAGAGCAGCCCAGGCAGAGAGCAGAGACACTGCCCCAGGGACCAAGGTCCCCTTTCACACTGGAGTTAATCTCATATCACCCCTGTGACAGATGCTTCTGGGAAGATAATATCTGTGCAAGTAGAGAGTGTGGATTTTCAGATTATTCTCCCATTTTTTATGGAGTCAGGGATGGTGTCTGCATTTCAAACACTGCCTGGTGGCTCAGTCTGCTGGGGGAGTGATGTTCCTGCTAAGGTCACATCTGCAGTCTGGCAGTTGCTGCAGTATGAAATACTGGTGGGGAGGAATGGCTTTAACGAGAGCCTTGTGCCTCTAATCAGTGCAAACTTCCTCCTGTGTGGAAATTAATGGATTTTCCTGATTACTGAGGAACATTTGGAGCTTGGTTTTCTCCTCTTCATTTCCCTTTCCTCCTCTCCTACTTTGGCCTCCTCTGAGAGTTTGTGCCTGTCCCCGGCAGTGATGCTCTCTGCTGGGGTTTTCTTGGTGTGAGTCCCAGGCAATCTGAGCAGGCTGCTGTCTAACCAGCCCCCAGACAACCCCTGCCAGCTCAGCAGCATCTCACACTGCTCAGTCTGTGCAGCTTTCTCCACACTGTTAAACACTGGCATGGGTTGATACAGATACAAAAATGGTATCTTTTTTTTTCCTGCTGCCTTCACCAACTCCTCTTATCCAGAAGTTTATCTATAAGCTGAAAGCACACAGTTATCAATCTTTAGTACTTGTTTCTTCCCTTCTGTTGAGCTCAGGGGCATTGTTTTTCTGTTCTGGATCCGTTCATGAGCCACAAAAAAGGTTCTGGAACATGTGATTCCCCTCCCAAGCTTGTTGACTCTGACAGGTCTGGAATATTTTGGTCCCCCCGTTCCTGACCCAGTGCTGACATGAAGCTGAGTGTGGGGTGGGTTTGTGAAGGTTCCTTGGGGCAGCCCAGCTCTTGTTGAGGCACTGAGCCCTTCTCAGTAAGGTGAGCCAACAGCTCCCTGCAGGATTTGGTGGTTTTTGGTATTTTTTAGCATGTGAGAGGCTCTAGAAAATTCGCTGTCTGCCACTGAAATGTTCCTCCTCTCTGCTGGGATGCAGCTGTGAAGGAATGGAGTTTTCCAGCAGCAGGGATAAGGGCACAGCCTGGGTGAGAGGTCTCCTGCCCAATTCCTGCCAGGTTCCTCTCTGTCCCTGCCCGAGCTCCTGACTTCATCCTCCAGCTTAAAACCCAAATACTTCTTTGTTCTCAGAATGTGAATTCACAGCTAAGTCCCAACTTTACAGCATTTATGGAAAAGCTGCAATCTTCTATTCATTAATCTTCCCCTCCCCAAAAATCAATCTGATATGGATCTTTAGTATTATTTTCATTTAGATCTAAGCAATTAAAATGTCCTTATGAGTTACTGCAGTTAATTTAAATTATGTGCTTTGAGAGCTACAACCCCAAGCTCTGTAAAACACCTCCAATGCTTCCCATGTAAATTGGAGCCTGATTTATGTGTGGAAGGCTAAGCCAGCAAAACTGCCCTGAGGGGAAGGTGTAGTTCATTGAAATAAAACTGAAATTAAATTATCTCAAATAAAAATGCAATACAGCTGCCTTCAGCAGGAAGTGAATGTATACATTTCATTAAATATTAAAGTTTAATTTGTGTGTGTGCATAATTTAGAGGTAGGCAGGTTAACAGGGTGGTATTTTAACTCCTTGTGATTTGGGTAAGAACAGCAGTGTCCTCTTGCTTGGCTGGTTACTGGGACACAGTCTTCCCACCTTTCTCTGAATTAAAAAGCCCAGCACAGAGTTTATTGTTCAAAGCTGGGTGCCAGGTGCTGTCACCAGTGATTGATGGGTCCTGGAGTCCTGTCAGCCCTGCCAGTGGCTCCAGGGGAGAGGGAACTGGTTGCAGGAAAAAAAAGAAGTGAACAAAAAGAGCTTTGGAGATGGCTGGGCAGTGGCTGAGAGGGGCAGGTCATGCTTTATCTGTGGGTGTGATTTGAGGCCAAAGAACCTTGGGAAAGTGAGCTCAGTTAAAAAAGAAAACAAAAAAAAGTCATAGAATGATTTGAATTGGAGGGGTCCTGAAAGACTCTTTGGTTCAATCCTCTCTGCCATGTGCAGGGACATCTTCCATTAGACCAGGCTGAAAAATCCCCATGGCAAAACCCCACACCTTACTTGCTAGAAGAGGAGTTTTGAAGAGAAAAGAGGTTTCATTGCCTCTGCCAGGGCCTGATTCAGTGCTGCTTGGCTGCCATGGAATATGGGTAGACTGGAAAACTGGGTGGGAAAAACAGAGCAGTGCTGGGCTTAGAGCCCCTTTAGTGTGGGGGACAGGGATGGGTTCAGGCTGCCCCTGGCATCTTGTGAATTTCTTTGGAGCTGATGGGAGGCTGCAGTGGCTGTAAGGGGGAACATTGCCCACCACTGGCAGGGCTCATGGGCAGTGACTTCAGGGGAAAGGCAGACTGGGGATTTTATCTTACCCTCTAAAGATGTTCAGGTCCCTGCCAGTCGCTGCTTGGTTTGACAGGATCCTCAAACCCTGTATTGAAGCAGGGATTGGGGGGCCCTATGTTTACAGCATGTGAAGTTCTTACAAGGTTGTTTCCACTCTGAGCAGCCATTTGTTGATGTCTTTCCAGACATCTATAGGGATCCATGTGCCAAATATTATGATACATACTTTGTAAGAACATAAATATTCATATTTCATATTGCATTAGGAAGATATTAATGAAGATTGCATGCAGTTTTCAGTCCTGAAATGAAAAAAAAAAAACCCTCTTTTTTTGCATACCTTTAAAATTCGGTCTGATCCTGGCATCGTATCCTGAAGTTCGCCCCATCAACTTATCCAAGAAATCGGAAGGAGACATGGGTTTGGGGGCAGATCGAGCTGCTGCTTCAGCTTCCTTGGAGGCTGCCAGGCTGTGCAAGTAGAAATAAAGAGGAGGTTTCAGTGTGTATCCCCTGCTGGGGAGGGCTTGGGGTCCAGAAACAGAACAGTCAGCATCTTATTCCTGCTGAGGCAGGATGGGTACCCATGTGAATTCCTAATGAGGCTGGTCTCAGCTAATTTGTTTGCCCAGCCCAAACATCTCCAAATACAGAATCCCAGCTGCCACCAAAGTAGAAGAGAGATGATGAGCAGTGAAAATCCTTTTGTGAGTTTAGGTATAGCTCCTTGGTGTGCCACTAAATTACAAATGTGAACTCTGGCGCTGAGCTCCACAGGTAAAATACACTCTGAGATTAGCCTTGGGCAGCAATTACTGCTTAATTACAGGGCAAATAGCAAGGAGCATATTCAGTACTCTGACAGTATGATTTTCCAAAAGGCAGGTAGGATCAGAGACATCTGGAGTTTGAGGTTTAAATGAGCATCATGTGATGGTAAAGCTTGTGCAGAGCCTTTGGGGCTGTAGGGGAGAGGGGTGGTTCTGCTGATCAGTCCAGCCTTTGCTATTGGTACCTGCAATGCAGGGTCTGAGCTCAACACAGAACTGGAGTGTCTGGAGTGTGATCCTGAAACTTTACTCATGATGGGTTGAAGATGAGAGGAAATGGAATCTTTCAGGGACCTGTATGGAATCTGGGCCAGAAAGAGTGAAACAACAAATTTACCTATAGAAGACAAAAACCTGTGCCTGGCAATTCCCCTTCTCGATGGGAGTCTGCAAGATCTGCAGGCTGATGATTTGGGCTTGTGAAGTCTGTTGCTGCCATCTACACAGCAGCAAGTGACCCTTGGTATTAGGTGCTCCTTCTCAGCTTTGCAGGAAGATTTGACTTCCCAGACAGGAACAGACACTATTCAGTACCCTTCCTCTGGTTTCCACTTGAACACCAGTCTGTTGCCAGGCTGCAAGTGTTGAGGAAAATTGCCTAGATTATCCAGACAATCCCCCAGATCACCTCTGCAATGTGCTTAGGGTGAGCCTGTGGGTTCAGGTGCCTGGTGCTGGGTAAAGCCTGGGCAGCATTGCAATGCAAGTGTACAATGAGCCAAAGGAAGCTGCTCAGGAGGAAGTGAGGCCATTGCTTCAAACTCTGCAAGACTCCTGATATATTTTTTTTAAATATAAAGGCTGTGTGGGAACAGTGAGGAGCCCCTGACAGAGCAGCTGGGAGGTCTAAGGATGTTTACAACAGGCACGTGCTATTTGGCTACAGGTGTCCTCACAAATGACACCAGAGTCCTCTAACAGCATAAGGGCCTCACCCTGGGAAGCTCTGCAGTAGCCAGACCTGGGGGAGCAGTGCTGAGTACTGACACAAGATCTTTTGGGAAGAATTTGGGACTGTAACTCTGCATGGTATTAATGTGATCCCATCCCCAAAGATGAACTCTTCCAATACCAGCTTGAGCTGAAACCCCAGAGAGACATGTTATCTTGACAAAGCATTTGAAATACTTGATTCCTTAGAACTTTAAGAAATCACATGGGATTCAGCAGTGCTTGGGTGCATCATTTCAAAATCAGGAATCTGGTAACCTGCATTGCACTGACTTTCTTTCCTGGTGTCAGCAGCGATGGCTTGCAGAGCCTTGGTTTTCAGTCCTGCAAACTCACAACTGCAGTCTGGCTCCTCTTGCAAGTTGCAGCAGAGCTCTCTTTGGATTTTTTTCTTTTTTGGATTTTTTTTTTCTTTGCTGGATTTTTAACTGTTAAAAATAGTTTAACTTGCAGTGAAGAGAAGAGATTAATTCCAGATCACTTCTAGTGAGAGCCTAAACCCAGGATTTTATTCACTCCTTTGGGCACTCCCAATCCACTCCCACACTGGACCATATCTGAACAGGCTGGTGCACTTCTTTCTCAATGGTGACCTGACAAGGTGTGGATCTTGCTCTTGCTACAACCAAGTCCCCTTTGTTGTCTTGCCCCCATCTCTGCCCCAAGGAAATACACAAAGGAAAACCAAAGTGTTCCAGGGATAAATGGGGTTGTGGAATGGGTGATGGTTTTTAATTTAATTTGTTTTTAGAAGGAAAGCAACAGGGTGCAATTGATTTGCAAACGCAGAAGAAAGCTGGGAGTGGGAGGACAATCAATACTGGGCTTGACTACTGCATTCCAATGGAGTGTCTGCATGGCAATGAGTCCAGAGAAAAGATTTCAATTAAGCAGCAAATGACTTGGTAACCAAAGACTTCTGCCACTTCAGCAAGATGCCAGACAGTGCAATACACTGATTTCTTCTCATTAACTGTAGACTGGATGAAGTATATGGAAATGGAAAATGTGTGTGGGAGGGGAAAGGCAATACAAACCTAATAAGCATCTAATAATCTTTAAGTGGAAAAAGATAATTAGAAACTGGCATTTGTTTTAAAAAATGAGGTGGAAAAGCACAGGAATCGGTGCCCATCTTTCCCGTAAGTTCAGTGTGAAAACCTCTACTTGATATATTCACCCCACTTCCAATGAGTGAGTCTGTATTTCTTGGGTGCCATTTTCTGATACTTTCTGCATCAAAGTTGCAAATAAATTAATTTCTTGGGTTCACTTCCTGCATGGAAATAAAATGTTTGGATAACTGAAGCTCAGAAACCTCTGCCCTCTCACAGCCCCAGTGCCTTCTGCAGCTTCACGCTCGTCCCTGTGACCAGTCCCTGGGAGCACCCTGGAGGTTGTGCTGAAACCTTCACACAAGGCTTCAGTGTCTTGATGCATGTTTCAAATCTGCCTGGCTGCTGTGTGGTGCTGACCTGGGCATGGTGAGTTCTGAGTTCCCTCCCATTTCTGTTTGGTTACTAGATGCTTTCCTAAAACTAGACTCCCCCAGATTTAACGAGAAAAGACAAGAAAGCAGTGCATAGGGAGCAGCAAAGCCTTCCTACAAGCAGGCAGCTGAGTCTACCCTCTGTCTTAGAAATGGCAGAAAACACCACTGGGAGCTACAGAGAGGCTGATCCACCCCACTGCTTTGGGGGATGGATTCTGTCTAAGGGAGCCCCAAAATCTTCACTTTGGTTGTGACAGCTGAGCTTTGCAATGGCAGCTTAGCTCAGGCAGCACCCAAAAAATCTGCCAGCTTCATCTGTCTTCCAGGTCTGTCTAGAATAGTGCTTTATGTGCTACCTTGGGAGTTTTCTGGGACTTTCTTTATCCCTCAGTCCTTCCAGAACACCCTCAAAAGTCCCACAGGACTTTTCGTCTCCTGGCTCAGCAGAGATGAGGAGAGGGAGATTGCCAAGTGATTTGAAAATTATTGGCAATGGAAGAGAATTGGAAATTTGGTGTGGGTAGTTGTGTTGCTCAGAAGATTTATTCTGTGAATAAACAAAGGGAGGCAAAGGCTGTAACAAACCCACTGAGGATGGAGTTTGCATTGGTGTAAGAGTTGTCTGAGCCGAGCATCTCGGCGCATTTTAATAGCAGTCAGACAGAGGCTTATCTTATTTATGCTGCTGTAATCCCTAGTGGATCTGGCTGAGAAAGTGCCATCAGGCAATCATCACAGCAGCTACAATGGGAAGGATCTCTTCAAAGGGTCGATGAACTAGCATAATCTTTTGTGATATTAATGCTGGTGTGTAAGCAGACACCAGCAAGCCCCCGGGAGGTCCAGCCCACGAGCAGGATGTGAAAGTGCTGGAGATGAGCAGCCCCAGCAGCTCAGGATTGCATCCCTTCAAACAGAACAGTCAAGCTTTGCAGGACATCTACTGCTGGTTTTTCCCAGGCTATACAGGCACTGTTTACTTTGTATGCATCATTTTGTTTCAGCTAAACTGATGATCTATTCTTATAAACAATTATTTGATTTAGAAAGTGGCTTTTCTGCAGTCTGGATGTGTCTGTTCACTTGACTCCTGACTCCCCAGTTGGATGTTTCCTTGTCTTCCTCCTTCCATTTGCATGACTCTTCAGCAATATTTTCATACTTTTTTTTTTTTTTTTTTTTTTTTTGGCTGTGGCCATGGTTGTCCATCTAATTAAGTCCAACATCACAAAATGCCCTGTTCTGGCTGAATGCTGATACTGAGGAATAATGTATATTTTTTTTTTTTTTTCTTTTCAAAGAGGAGTGATGAAGGAATTTAATTAGCACAGGGCCTCTATTCCCTTGTCAAATCATTTAATTGTTAATCATTAATTCTGAGTGTAAAAAAAATGATGTCTGGCAGCAGAAACAAACTGTTGCAAAACAAGTGTTTGCAGAGGAACTATCTCTCTGCAAAGTGTGGAAGGCTCAGGTCCCTGTGAAGGTGAAGTGGTGTCACATCAGTGTCTCCAGAGAGGTGGGATCTCTGCAGGCTGGGGAGACAGAAGATGCCTCACCCCTACCCTGGTTCTGTGCTGCTCAGCAAAGGTTTCTGAAGTGGTTTGTTTGGGGTTTTTAAATTTTATTTTGAAATGCAGCAAGCCAGAAACCTTGGCAGGGATGTGTTTGGAACAGCGTTCAGGTGAGCTGCCTCACACATTTGTCCTTCAAATGTGACGTGTTCTTTAAGTAGAGATCCCAGGGGAGAGAAATGTTCATCAGGCTGAGGTGTGCAGGATAACTGCTTCCCCTGTTACCTTCAGAGCCAGGCTAGGGCTGTGCTGGGGCTTGGGGACGTGGGAGAATTCCTCAGCTTTGTTTTATTGACTCCAGCAGGCTCTGCAAGGTGCAGAGGCACAGGGAACATCAGCTAGCTGGGCACAGAAAGGCATCGTGCTGTCCATGATTAACAAGTGCAGCCCAGGGTAGCTCTCTTCTTCCTCTTCCTGAACCTTCTCCTGGGCACAGAGGCCCCTGGGCAGATCCTGGAGCTCAGCAGAGCCCAGCCTGGATTCAGATGATGCTGGAGCTGCCTGTCTCTCTCTCCTCTGCAGCAGGAAGGACAGATTGTCCTTGCGAAAAGAACAAGGGGCAGCCCTAAACTCTGAACCCAGACATTTATTTCTGACTGCACACCAACATGTTATCTGGAG